CCTATGATGACGAAAAGTATAATATTTACGATTTGTATTATTTTATACGCGTTTAATTTTGTTTTTATAAATATATTTTATTTCTCAGACACATACCACCTCTTTATTTTTCGCATACTATCGTTTCCTTTCACTTACGCTTTTTTCGTAATCTACGTTCGAATAGGTTCGTTAGAATAATTTTATTTCTTTAAATTTTACTATAATCCGGTCTTGATTATAATCGTAATCTTATAATTTAATTAGTTTTAACCTTTCGGTTGGTTCGAGACGAAGCGATGCGTTAACTTGCGATAGTGATTGTCATTTCCTTCATGAATTTCGCATTAGACATTTTCGAGATTTAGCCTCGTTTTGTTTACTATATTTCCAATTTTATTACAGCATATACATTTTCTTACATTTGCAAATGATTAATGAGTATTTAACAAAAAATAGTTGAAGATTATAAGATTCGTGTTCCATTTACCAAACCCAATTTTGAAACATTTAAAAGTACTAACATCATGGAGATGCATTATTAAACTATTTTCCTAAGTTCTCTATTCTCGTTTATTTTTCTTCAAATTTTATGCTTTCAATACGTTAACTGCATTAAAAAATATTCTTCGAAAATCCATATCGCTTATCAAAGCAAAAATTAGAGCAAGCCTGCTATTTTTCTCGAGCACATTCTCTCTCGTGCTCGCATTTACCGATGCATCGTTTTTAACGCTAAACGTACCGCAACTAATCGAACGACCGGTTTTAAAATTTGATTTAAAATCCCGCGTTTTCTTTTGTTATTCTAACTTCACATCAATAATCCCTCTATTACCCGATTAATCATTTTATCAATTCTTGTCCTTTCTTCTGTTTCCACTAAGACAAATTTGTCCAATTACAGTAGGAACAGATACAAACTGTCGGTACGTTTAATGTTAAAGATCTCTCGTATTAGCGAACAATCGTCGGATAATTCAGCTCCGCGAATCGTTCGACCGACTACAGCCTGTCGCGGGACCTTCGATTCCAGGGATCGAAGCCGCGCTCGCGCGATCAATCCCCGATGCTTCGGGTTCCTGTATCATTCAGAATCGTCGATCGTGGGTTGGTTTCGTTTCGAACAGCGCGCGGCGTGCGTGACTTCGCGGAATATCCCTCGGAACACGGTGAACCGTTCACGCATCATCACCCCGTCCGTAGGGTTCCGGCGCGGTCCACGCCCCCGTGGATACCCCTTTTTAACCCCCACGCGAGTATCCCTCCCCCGAAAAACGGCAGCCTCTCGTCGCGCACTCGTAACCTTGGGCATTCTGTAATTTAGTAAATTGTTGCGCACTCTCTGTGAACGGAACCGCCGCGATTCGCGAATGACTCGGCCAATGCGTAATTCCGGGACACCCGAGCCAGATCGATAGTTTCCATCGATCTCGGCGGCACCGTCCTCGCCGATCTCTTAATCCCGCGGAGCATTTCGGGGAAACGATCGTGCCCCGGACGTAATGGAAGCTCGTGGGAGGATTCGAAGCGAATTACGGGAGCGTTCATCAGCGTCACGCGAGAGAGGCAAAGGCGAGTCAATGGCGAATCGAAAATTACGCGGGGCAAGGGATCGATGATCGTGCGTTGATACAACGAGGGGCATTCGAGTGGCGGCGGGGACGCGTCAGTGTGCGCTGTCTGCGCCCGACGAGCTGCATGATCGTCGAACGCCATTTCTTTTATGACTATCAACCGGTAGTTCGCGATCGTTTTGCCCCGCGTAACCGCGGCGAGCACCGTCATTGTTAGACTTAGGCAACATCTACCTGATGACGAAGCAATATATTAATGCGATTTATCTACGATTTATTAAGGCAAACAGTGATGAGAACATGATGACAGAGACGACGGTGAGAGAGAGAGAGAGAATGAGAGAGTGAGAGAGAGGGAGAGAATGAGAGAGTGAGAGAGAGAGAGAGAGTGAGAGAGAGGAAGAAGAGTGAGACAAGTAGAAAACAGTGACGCGGGGAAATGGAAAAGCTTCGAATGGAATAGAAATAAATCGAGAGTAAAATGATGTTAGGTGTAGTCCACTATATTGTACTATGCGTCTCCTAGCTAAATTTTTATGTTTTCTAATTCGTTGTGAACGAATGTTTTTTGGTATAAATATATAAATAAATGAATCTATATATCTATATACATATATATGTATGTATATATATATTTAAATTCTAGGATATTAATTGTAAGTGGTAAGCCAATCAACGAGGTGCCCGGCGGCAGATTCATTCCCTCCCGCCGCGTATTCAACGTAAACAACCCTCGGGGAGATTTTTCAACGTTCACGCGTGAATCGATGCGACAATCGAGATCTACATAAAAAGGCGTATGCATTTTTTAAAAGGGCAGAATTTTAATTATCGACGCGCGAGAGGACTTGTACGAGAGATCGTTCATAATAAATGTATCGTCCTTGGCATGAATAAATCGTGATAATATTATAAAGGAAGAAGTCTAGAAAAATATATTCATGAAATGTTACATTTTTTTTAAGAAAATAGCAATCGCAATTTTGAAATTGAATTTTTTGTTTAAAGGAACAATTGATATTGCAAAACTTTAATTTTTATCTTCTCTCTTACGTAGAAATGTAAACAATTGTTTTATAATTAAGAAACAAATTGTTCTAAAATACAAGCTTCCCAAATTTGTTAATTTTTTTATATATTACATAGTTCGTTATTTAATGCATATCGAATATACGCAATGTTTCCATTGATCAGTGTTAAATAAATATCATAAAATTCCTAATAATATTTCATTGTCTACGACCTCGAATTAAAAGAATTTTATATCAATGTCAACTGATTTGCTGTAACAATGAAATACCTATTTAAGAAATCTTTATTATCTGGACGATGAGTTTGAATATTTTTAATCACAGTAATTTTGCAAATTCTAAGATCACCGTAATTGTTTTAATTTGAATTTAGAAAAGTCCAATCGAACGATACTCAATTACAATAAAAATATTGCGATGTTGTATTCATTGCCATGAATCCTCAAATTCTTAAAACTCGTTTTTTATGGTAATACCAGAAGTTTTGAATTGTCATTATTGCAACAAATGAGCGAAATGACAATACAGTCTATTTAAATTTCATAAGAAAAATAGGAAAATTTGCGAGTCGTGCATCGGAGAAAATCTTTTCGCGCTCGATGATTGATTTCTGCGTCAAATGGTTAGTCACGTAATAATTCGCGTAACATTACGATATACGTATAAGATATATAACTCGTTGCCGAATAACGTCACCGAAAGCCATCCAGTTACGACTCGAAATAATCGATCCGTGCGCAAAATTGGAAAAGGGAAAATGAAAAGTAAGAATGAGACGTGCTTGCTCCGGTTCTACTATCGGTTTATTTATATCGAATGTCCATTTGTTCTTTCGAGAGGAGTTCACTGCCGCCATGAAATGAAAGGTAACAAAAAAATGAGAAGAAAGAAAAACGATAGAAAAAGTGTAACGATCGACTTTTGTAGACGCATGTAGACTGGTATACGGGCACAGGTTTCACTCGTGTGTCTGTGTACGCGTCGACACCGTGTTTATTACGTAATATTTGACGAATGCCATACACAAGTACCTCATGATACAAAACACATGTACAAATGTTCATACGTTTTCAGAATATTAGCTAATTAATAAATAATTAATATCCAGATCAGAACTTTCTCCATGGGTTTCTTTTAAACTAACTTATCCCATCCTTGCTCCCATTTTGTAACCAGATATCTATAAGCATGCTTTCAATATAAAGAAAACTTGTTAACGCTTTCGTTACGAGATAAACGCCATTTTACTGCTGCTGTAAACAGTTGATATATGAATCAAATA